TATACTGTGCTGAGACCTGGGCAATGACAGAGAAAGCTCAAAGTATCATTTCTGTCTTTGAAAGAAAAATTTTGAGAAGTATTTTTGGTGGCATAAAATGTAACAATATCTGGAGAAGAACTAACTCTGAACTCCATAAATCTTTTAAAGAAATAAATATAGTAAAATATATAAGGTGTGTGTAAATACATAATGTGTGATTATGGCAAAGCCTCGAGGGCTATCTGCCTAAGGGTAGGGATGCCTTTGTAGAGGACTTTCTAAAGGAAACTGGCTTGTATACACGTTACACATAGGGAAAACCATGAAATGCCCATGCAGCCAGCCCATTTGTGGGATTCGAACTTCGGACCGAAGTACTAGTGTTTAGTGACTTTACCGCTTGGCTGCTGGTGGGCAAAATATATAAGGATTCAGAGAATTAAATGGGCAGGACACCTGTGCAGAATGGATGAAAATTGAGTAACTAAAAAGATCTTCTCGGCCAGATCATTTGGCACCCGAAAAAGAGGGAGACCTAAAATTAGGTGGCTCGACCAGTTGGAAACACACTTAAGAATTTAAAAAATAACCAATTGGATGTCCATGGCCAGGGATAGAAGAGCTGGGAATTCAATTCTGAGGAAGGCAAGGACCCATCCTTGACTGTCTGGCTATTGAAGAAGAAGAAGAAGGCCCTAAGCTATTTGAGATATGGGGCCTTTTATGTCTATTACAGTCAAAAGTCGTTAATTCCGACACCCATAATCCGGAATGATCTATAATCCGGACCTCAAAGCTACAAACTTTCTGCGCGGTCTGCGCGTAAGACCTTTACGGCTGCGAATATGCATGTGCGCATGCGCATAATACGTTTACACTTGTGCGTTTAATGTATAACGGACAGTATAAGCTAAGTTAAAATTATCTAATTCAGTTAATGTTGCAGATCGCATTGTTCCTTAATCTTCGAATTGGATCTGGCTTATTATTTTTTGCAGACTGTTAGAACAATTTTATAAAAGTAAGCTTAAACTTTCGATTATGTCAAATAGAATTTCCGATATATATTTACTAATATGTAAAGGATCTACAAAACGAAAGTATGTTTCGAAGTCCATTAAAAAAAAAGTGGAATTGCTGCAAAAAATGGATAAAGGCATATCCTTCGTTTCTCCAACCATTCCGAAATCTGTTTATCAATTTCACGCTGCTCTGCGGCGGTGGGGGGGGGGAAACGCCGAAACGCTGTGGCGTGCAATGAATTGGGAGTTAATCTGTCAGCACTTTCCTTATCTTCAGGGCAGATGTTCTTATTTTAGTTGGCTTATAATTCCTTACTAAATGTAGTATTTCATCTCGATGTACTCCGTCTTTGATATGATTTAAATCAAATTCCTCGTCATTATAATTCACTTCCGATAAAGAAGAAAGTGACACAGAGGTTATTGAAAACGAAAAAATTTCGATTGACAAATTAGTCGGTATTCTCGACACAGCAATTATAGGATGTGAACAGCGGAACTTTGTACTGAAGAAGAAATTATATCTGTTTATAGAATTAAAGAGAAAGTATTATAACATAAAACGAAGCAACATCAACAACTTACATTGAAAGAAATGTTTAATAAAGTAAACAAATAAATATTAAGCTTTTTTTTTTTGTAAATTTTGATACCCTTTAGATCATAAATGTTCTTTATTTCATAAATTATGGTTTCATATTTTTAATTTTATAATTTCTGCAGGCCATCTTACCGGATTTAAACTGATGATCTATAATCCGGAAAAATCGATAATCCGGAATCGCCGAAGTCTCAACGAGTCCGGATTAACGACTTTTGACTGTATAATATATTTAATACTATTTATACTATATTTTAATTTGTTGGGGGCCCTCAAGAAAATGGGGGGCCATGAGCTATACCTTGTGTAAATCCGCCCCTGCATTTATGCTATATAATTTTGATCATATATTTTATTATTTTTTATATATGTTTACATATAGTATTAAGTAAGTTTTTTACAACATTTTATCAAGATGAGTCAATATATTTTATTTTACATTTAGATTTTAATTAAAATATGTCCAGAATCTTTTGACATTCTGTATTTATATTACTGTTAGATACCATTACAAAAAAAATCAAAACAGTTATTTAAAAAAAAATTTAAATTATTATTACTTTATTATTGATAAGAAAAAATATTTGGTACTTTTCTGTTTCGTCGAAGAAAATCTCGCCAAGCAGACTTTATTGGCGACAACATACAGTATACACATAAAAAATTTTAACAATGTTAGTTTTAATAATTTTTATTTTGAAGGCATAAACATTTTAATAGCATTTAAAATTTTGTAAAAAGTCAATAAATAAAGACAGCAAATTTGTAAAAGACATTATGTCTTGGGATTAAATTATTGGCAACTTTATCGCCTGCGCCGGCAAAACGGAAAAGTACCAAATATTTTTATGAGTTAAAGAAAATTGGATTGAAAATAAAATAAGAAGAGGTCATCCAGGAAAGTTAACTTGGTCCTCTTCTGTTATGAGGATCAGATTCAGAATGTATGTGTTTATGTATTATATGTGCATATATGGTGTGTGTGTATACATACACGTACATATATGCCTAAATTTATACATGAAATAATAAAAATAAAAACACAAGGAAAATCCGGAACACTGTCGATGCGTGCTTATATCTATATTGAAGAAGAATTTTTATTGTGTAGTGTGCTAATATTGCTAACTTGGTAATATCTAAAGAACTTGGCAGTCGAGGCAGTTTTAGTTCTATTTTTATTTTCAATTGATATTTGTGGCCACAATCACTAATCGTGCTTTTCCACAAAAGATTTATATTTTTAATATTGTTGAGATAGAAAGCAAGCCAGCGAAATTGCATCTTAGCAAAGTAGAGAGCAAAGCTAAACTGCGTAGTTATGCAAGAGGAAGCACGCAAAGAGAAAAGTTTTGTTTTGCAATTTGGTGATTGGTCATAAGGCATCTGCATTAAGGGTTACATAAGATCGCATGATTAATTTGAATGACACAGTTTAGATTAAAGTGCTATTTTTGGGACAGATAGATGAAATTCCCAAATGAAATAAAAAATAAAAGAGGTTATAGTGAATTAAATTTAGAAGTTTACTTTTCATATTTTTTATCTTACATACATACATTTCTGAATCTGGTTCTGATAACAGAAGAGTACATTTAACTGAATGTAATCAGAGATTTATAGATGGAAAATTTGGGGAAAATCTGTATTTGATTGCTGTAACAATTTCTACAGAATTTACTGAAAACTTTTCTACTTAAATTCCACATGAAACTGTTCAACAAGTACTTAGATCAGCTGGATTACATAGGTGCTCTGCTCAAAGAATTTTTTTTTTAAGTGCAAGAAATAGAAATCTTAAGCTTTGCAAAATCAATGGTAAATAAGCCGAAGTGTATTGGAACTATGTTTTATTTGCAGATGAAAGCAAATTTAACATTTATAGTTCTGATGGGCATATAGGTGTATGGAGAAGAAAAAATGATTTAATCCAAAGACCTTGTTTGGAACTGTAAAGCATGGCAGTGGAGGTGACCTCACGTGGGGGTGTATGTCAGCATCAAAATTAGGTAATTTAGTATATATTAATGGCGTAATAACCCATATTCCTTATTCAGATATTTTAAAAGATAATTAAAAATTACTTGCTCAAAGTTTGGGTTTTGGAAACAACTTTATTTTTTATCAAGCTAACAATCCTAAGCACACTGCCCTGAACATTCACCTTTGGTGTGTCTATAATTGTCCACAAGTTCTCAAAATGCCACCTCGGTCACCAAATTTAAATCTTATAGGACGCATTTGGAGAGAATTATAGAGTATGAAGACACAACATAAAAACAAAAACCGAACTAAAAACAATAATGGTGGAAGAATGGAGAAAAATTAATGCAAATATTACAAAAAATAGTGGTAACTCTATGCTCATACCTTTAAAAGCTGTTATAAATGCTGCAGACTATCCTACAAAATACTAACTACCAGAAATACTACAATATTTACTAATATGTGCAGATTTTGAAGTGTATATAAAGACTTTTGTGAGGTAACTTCTCTGTTAAGTTTCAGTTATTGGTCCCCCCCCCACATAAAAAGTTTTGCTAAGAGAAATTTTTATATATTATTCAAAAATTTTCATTCTCAAATATTAATTTTTATTAATGAATAAAGCAATTTTTCATTGAAACTCGTAAGTATACAAACACTTTTGGGAGAAACTGTACATTCTATGGCTTAAGATCATGAATCCTCAAAAGTTCATCTGAGATAGGTCTGTCACTTCATAAGTTCGCGAGTAATCAGGCTATATTTTATGCACTGTAATATCATTTTCCTAAATTTGGTTTGAGTATAATTTATAATTTTCGTTTGATACTGTTTCCCCTTCTAATTGATCCCACTTTTAAAAATTCATTTAGCATATTTTAAATGATTTATTTTCTTCATTTAAAATGTATTTTGTATTCTGTTATCCTCTCTACTTATTGGCTTCCTATTTAAATGGTTTGTGACTTTTGTTGTTTGTTTACTATCAAAGTAAATTAATTAATGTAGTGTGCCATTTTTCAAAAAGAAGACAGAATTACAGTGGATAAAGCCAATGAAATCTAAAAGATTTGTCTGAGTTGCAAGTGTTAAAAATGTTGTATTTTTAATTCTCTAAATAAAGGTGTATTATGTTTGAAATATTACTATGTTTAATATATACAGGGTTGCCCTGTATAAATGTATTTTACTTTATGCTATCTGAATTTAAATGATATTGTAGATTAGTTCGAAAATTAAATCTTTTATATGTTTGCACATTTTTTAATAATTTTAACTTTAAATTTGCTTTTTACGTATATACATGTTTGTTAAAATATGTTTGTAATATATGTATATTTATTTACATATATTATATACCTGTATAAATGTATGGACTTCACTGATTGCCTATTTTTCTTTCTTCATAGTGTTTAAATTATGATGAGGCCTAGCTGTGGTATTTATTTTGGAGTGAAATCATAATTCCAGATGGAGCCTCAAATAAGACGAGCTATAATATTTAAAGTTATTTTTTAAATATTTGCCATTAGTTAATTTATAATTTTTTATCTATTTTTTAATATTTCATTTAATTTTATTAGTCATTATTTATTATTTTATTCATTTAATTCATGGTACTTGCGTATTAACACAACTACCTTGGTGCAATTTTGCGATTTTTTATAGATGAAAAGGTAAAAATTACTTATCGGTTACAAGTTGGAGATTAAAAAGATTCTTAAACTATTGATATTTATCTAAATTATATTGACAAACATTATCAATGTATGAAAAATCAACATATTTTACAAATTTTAAATACAAATTTTAGTTGTTAAATAAGAATTTTGTGATATACTTTTCACCTTTCTACACAGTGAACTGATTTTTATCAAAAAAAAAAAAAAAAAAAAAAAAAAAAAAAAAAAGAGAATTTTAGAGAATCATTGTACGTACCGAACGCATCTCTTTGTTGTTCCCTGTAGAGATTGTGTGGCAAAATTCTGTATTCCTGCAGAAACTTTTCCAGAGTTTCTTCCATTGCTTACAAATTCTACAAGCATATATTTTAAAACTAAGTTCCAGGCAAAAAATTCTACAGTTTGTAAAAACCATAGGAACATAAAGAAAGAAAGAAAAAAAAAAAAAAAAAAAAAAAAAAAGATTGCATACGAAAATGGTGACATAACTTGATTGAAGGATTATTATAAGAATGATTGTCTGAAGAATGGTTATGCACATTGGAACATTTTGAAAATCTGGTGTCTTCTACTAAGGTCGTTGTGATAACACATGAGTACCAGCTTTATTTATTATTCCTAATGGCCTTTTCCAGGACTTGGGCATTTCTAATTTTAAGCCCCACTTCTTTCATCTTAAAATAGCAAAAATATATGCCTACAAAATGAATTCTTTCTAAAATATGATTTTTAATAGGAAATTTCAGTTGATGGCTAAAAATGTAGTTATGATTATTAAGAAAAATCAGATATTTAATTTTCATGTTAAAGTTAGACATTTAGCCTAAAATTTAAGTCATTGAAAAGGGTCATGATTTTAGTTTATAAAAATTAGTTGTGGCTGCTGTTTAACGATAATATTAAAAATTCAGCTGAGGTGTTTATTATGACAACAGTTACCTTTAATAGTAAGAGATTCAGTGAATAGCTTTAATAAGAGAATTAATAATTCAGCTTTAATAAGAGATTCAGTGAACAAGAAAAATTTCAGTGGAAAAAAAATTATGTTACTATATTTAAATGCTTGCAGATTTTGAAGTGATGAATTTTAATGTGCTTGCCAAAAGGATAAATCTAGTCACTTTCATATATTAATGCACAAAATAATTCAAAGGATATTTTTATTATTTACAATTGTGTTAATTAACATCTAAATAAATTAGTAAATTCAATCTTTTTACATTTTGAATGTGATAAGATCCTTTTTAAAAGCAGATAATTTTGTAAACTTGTGTGCACAAATGCTTGAGGGTAAAATATATTAAAGTGAAAAATTAGTTATTGTAATTTGAAATTATTGATAAATGTCATAGAAATTTTTTATGATTTCATATTAAATTAACGGAATTTATTGTTTAAGTAGTGAAGATGTATATTACTTTGAAGAATTAATAAAATATTAGAACTTTTTTGTGTAAAGCACAGATGCAGAAGAAATCCTTTTGTAACATTCTCCTTCTCTGAAGACTTGGTCACCCGCCCTAAAAGAAGGGACAGAGAATCCTCTTCTGGCCTCGGCCGGAAGAGGGGAGTGGTCTTTCCCAATGGTTGTAGTGGGAGTAAAAGAGATTGAGATGTAGAAGAGAAAAGAGCAGACGCTGGTTTGCGTGCTCTGTTGTAATGAAAATGTATTTGAAAGTTTTTCTAAAATGTAATCTGTACATATTTATATATATAAATAAATATTTAGCCTCGAAACTGGTCTTGTTTATTTGATGGAGATACGACTATGGTACAACTTCCTTTTAAAATTTTTTCTGGAGTTATGCTTATTAGAGGAATAATTCTGACTCTCTGTAGAATAAAAATACTTCTTGTGAAGAATTTCATCAAGTTTCACTTTATCTGCTTGAATTTTTTTAATTGAAATAATTTAGTTATCTTAAGGACTTGTGCTAAAACTTTTATGAAAATTCTTCATTATTATGTTTAATCTCCTCGGGCTGTCATATATCTTATGATACTATCTTTAATCTCCTTTCTTGATGGTCTTTGAGAAAATTTGCCAGGTTTCATTGTAAAGGTTGACAGAAAGAAGAAATTTAACTATAATAAATTAAAAGATGATTGCCACAGAACAACTGTTTTGTCCCCTACCATCAAACTGGCAGCAAAGCAAGCCAAAATAAAATTTAAAACTAAGCAAGCAATTTTAATTTGGCAGAGATAAAAAAAATCTTTCAAGCCCAGTCAGACATGTCCTGCTCTTCTTTGGGTGTAAAAAAGGTGTCTGAAGCATTTGAATTACTTAATGAGCAAACACACTGAAGCAGAAGTCATATTTCTTTTTTGTTAAAAAATTTTCTTTAGATGTAAGAAAAAAAATGTGAATGTTAAATAATTTAAGTAAGTTATTTTTGTTACATTTTACATTGCAATATTATGCCCATGTACAGTATTATTTGGTCAATCTGCAGTTAGTTGAAAATTCAGTATGTTAAATATTGTTTTTATAACTTTATTATATTGACAAACATTATCAATATTTTTATTTTTAGAAAATTTTATATTTTATATTTTATATTTCAATTTTTATATTTTAGAAAAATATGACCTCTCTGACTGAAGCACATTTTTGTGGAATAAGTTCTCAAAGCAGTATCTATGGTTTAACATTTCTCTTTACTGCAGAAAGTACTCACAAAGTGTTAGTTGCATCATCTAAGAGAAAAGTTTATTGTATTGAATATTCAAAGAATCAACAAAATATAATTTTTTCCATTAGAGAAGTTCATTTTACATATATTCCAGGTTGTGTATGACATTCGCATTTTTTAAAAATTGTTTATCTTGTAATTTTCTGATTCTTGTGATTATAAAATATGTTCTTAATGAGATACAGTCAAAAGTCGTTAATTCGGACACCCATAATCCGGACCTCAAAGCTACAAACTTTCTGCGCATGTGTTGCGTTGACGCATGCGCGTAAGACCTTTACGGCTGCGAATTTGCGTGTGCGCGTGCACAAAATATGTTTACAAATACGCGTTTAATGTATAACAGACGGGATAAGCTAAGCTAAAATTAACTAATTATCTATTTCAGTTAATGTTGCAGATTGCGTTGTTCCTTAATCTTCTAATTGGATCCGGCTTATTATTTTTTGCAGACTGTTAGAGCAATTTTATAAAAGTAAGCTTGAACTTTCGATTATTTCAAATAGAATTTCCGATATATATTTACTAATATGTAAAGGATATACAAAGCGAAAGTATCTTTCGGAGTCCATTAAACAAAAAGTGGAATTGCTGCAAAAAATGGATAAAGGCATATCCTTTGTTTATCTAAACTTTAACGTTTGTTTACTAAACTTGTTTGTCTTTACCGCTGCTGCGGAGCGCAATGAATTGGAAGTTGATCTGTCAACACTATCCTTATCTTAAGGGCAGAGTTTTATTTTATTTGGCTTATAATTGCTTACTAAATGTGGGTATTTCCTCTCGATGATGTACTCCGTCTTTGATATGATTTAAATGAAATGCCTCGTCATTATAATTCGCTTCCAATAGCGAAGAAAGTTGATAGAGGTTTTATTGAAAACGAAAAAAATTTCGATTGACAAATTAGACGGTATTTGCGACACAGCAATTATAGGACTTGAACAGCGGAAACTTTGTAACTGAACAAGAAATTATGTCTGTTTATGGAATTAAAGAGAATGTATTATCACATAAAAAAACGAAGCAACTTAAACAACTTACATTGAAAGAAATGTTTAATAAAGTAAACAAATAAATATTAAGCTTTTTTTTTTTGTAAATTTTGATACCCTTTAGATCATAATTGTTCTTTATTTCATAAATTATGGTTTCATATTTTAAATTTTATAATTTCTGCATGCCATTTTACCAGATTTAAACTGATGATCTATAATCCGGAAAAATCGATAATCCAGAATCGCCGAAGTCCAGACGAGTCCGGATTAACGACTTTCGACTGTAGTTTAGAATTATGATTAGTAATTAAAAAAGTATTCTGTTTGGCATTGGTTTTGGTAACATAATAATTTTATCTATTCCTGAAAATATCAGTAACAGTTAAGATTTTACATTTGTTATTTATTTCTATTAATTACAAAAACTTCAATAGGGCGTTTCTTTTTTGAGGCATTTTTTTGTTGAATTATTTTTTTACTTGGTTTGGTTTATTTGATTATGGCAAAGTGAACCAAGTCCGTCTTCCGTATTATTTGTGCTAATCAATCTATTAATTTCCACCAACATGGCATATCTAAATAGTTTATGTGTATCTAAATACAACCCTGTCAAAAAAAAAAAAAAAAAAAAAAAAAAAAAATAATGTGCACCCAGAAGGAAACAAACTTCTGTCACAAAACTTAACATTTATGTAATGTATGAGGAGATAAGAAATGATTAATTCAGAGCAAAAGATCGTTTTATTAAGGATTTATGGCATCAAAAAGGTTACAAATCATAAGTAGTATAGCAACTTCTGACAGCTATACAAGCCGAAACACAGCGTGGCATTGAATCAAGTTGGTCACCTATGACCCACTGCGGAAGATCATGCCATAATCTTTGCAACTGGGCAATTAATTCACAAATATTCTGGGATGGCTGCAGTTGCCTTCCAAGCATGTCCCAAATGTGCTCTTATTGGTGAGAGGTCTGGTGGCTTAGCAGGCAACAAGAGAATGTCATATCTTTGAAGACATTGTTGAGAGAGTCACACAGTATGTGGATGAGCGTTTTCTTGCTGCCATGTAATTGCAAGCCATCATAATGCCTTGGTAGACAACTAGAGGTGATTGTGTGTCCCAGCAAATCATTCCCCTACACTGTCACACCTTATATAATCGCGATATGCTGCTTGACAACAAATGCCGGATCGGACCACTGACCTAGCTGCCTCCACATGCATGTGTGTTGGTCATCAGCACTGAGACAATCGGGATTCATCACTGAAGATCAATCACCTCCAGTGGATCACACTCCAGCTTGCCCAGGTTCAGCAAAAATCCGATCAACACTGCCTATGATGTGGAGTCAGTGGTAGGCGTTTTAATGGATGTTGGCAGCATATACCAGTGTTAGGCAGTTGTCTCTGAATGGTTTCAATTGATAACACCGGATGCTCAAAAGATGGTAAATGGCATCGCATCGATACTAATGACGTTGTTGGTGTGGAAGTGGCTGCCCTTATGGTTGTGCGATCCTCGCGCTTATTTGTACTCTTGGGATGCCCTGACCCTCTGTGACGGTAGACTATCCCTTCTGTGATCCATTGTTGCTAACACCGAGCAACTGCCATATCGCTCCAACTGAAGTGGTGGTCGATACGTCTGTTTGACAAGCCTGCTTCTCTGAGACCTATTTTATGCCCATTCTCAAAATCCAACAACTATTCGTACAGCTGGTGGTTATGCCTCAGAAGCATCTCAAGTCGATGGAGTGTCCATGTAAGTCAACAGATTCGTTTGAATAGCCCTACAGCATGAGCAATCATGCTTTTAAACTCTGCCAGCTGCGCCTCTCATATTTGCATAGTGCATTATCCTTGTCTCATTGGTGTCGAAATTTAAATCATTTGCATAGCTCTTACCAGTGTACATTCCTGCCGAGTTTTGTGATTGTGGCTTGATTTCTCCTGGGTGCATATATTTTTTTTGACAGAGTGTATATATAATAGATATGTATCTAAGTAGTATATTATTGATTAATTGGTACTGTTTTGTTATTGGGATTGGATTCAGAAATATATGAATGTATGTATGTGTATATGTATGTGCATATATGTGTACATGTATACACATACACACATTTGTACTTACAATATATACATGCAGACATGAACACATACATGCATATATACGAGTACATACATTTCTGAATCTGATCCTGATAACAGAACAGTACCAATTAATGAAACAGCTAAAAATATTAAGGAATGCATTTTTAATATCAATTTGTAATGTGTCAAGTTGCTGGAAAAAAATTCTTTTTTAAGCATAAAAAAAAAAAATTATATTTAGATCAAAATTTGAATTAGAAATTTAATTTGTCACTATATTCTCTTTAAAACAACATTAATAATTTTTAGCATTCTTAATAAATTACTATAAAAGTCTATAATTATTTAACAGTGCAGGCACCATATTTTAATTCATACTTATCGTTTTATTTTTATAGGGCGTGCAGAAATAATTTCAATTGATGCTTTCAATCAGGTTTGCCATGTGCATGATTTTGTGGTTGGAATAACTTTTACTAAGGTAATTTTAATTGAAGGAATTTCACCCATTACCAGCTTTCTGATGTTAATTTTCAAATTTTCTGATAAGATTCAGGTAAAAGTTAGTCTATTATATATATATGTATATATATACACACAGATGGAGGACATAGTAATACGAACACCTTTTAATAATGGAAAATAATGGAAAATCTTTATTAATAGGGGGTTGGACCATCCTTTGACTGAAGTACAGATTGAATGCGATGGGATAAATGCATAAAAGTCATGGACAATATTTAAAGGAATATTAAGCCATTCCTTCTGCAGAGCGTTCTCTAATTCCTAAAGTCCGGATGGAGGTGGAAATCGGGAACGAAGTTTGGACTCCAAATATGTCCATAAATGTTCAATAATATTCAAGTTCGGATACTGCGGGGGCCAAGTGAGATGTTCAATTGCATTGTCATGCTCTCCGAACCATTCTTGAATACACCTAGCAGTGCGAATAGGGGCATTGTCATCTTGAAAAAGCGGTTGCTCCCCAGGGAATGCAGTCTGGACATGATCCTCTAGAATGCTTAGATAGTGATTGGATGTGATCCTCCCATGCAGAATAACAAGTGGCCAAAGACCGCGCCAAGATATCGCACCCCATACCATAATGGCGCCACCCCCACGCTTCACAGTCGGCAAGAGGCAGTCAGGATGAAACACTTCTTTGGGTGTTCTCCAGACATAAACGTGTCCGGTCATCTGAAATAGGGTACATGACAATTCATCTGACCGCATTACCTGTTGCCACTGCTGTGGGGATCAGCCTTTGTGATCTCTGCAACATTGGCGTCGCTTGAAAACATTAGTTGTTTTCACCAAGGGTTTATGAATTGCCACTCTGCCATAAATGTTTGCAGCATGAAGTTCCCTTTTGACAGTTTTTGTTGAAACGGGGTCCTGGAGATGACTGTTCATTTTGGATGTTATCTTGGATAACAATTGCTTGTGCTTTCGGGCTACTATGCGCTTCAAGACCCGTCTATTTCTATCAGCCAGCTTTGATTTTTGGCCACTGTTCTACTTTGAAGATGTCATCTTACTCTCTTTTGTGTACGCTGTCATAATGGCTGATACCGTTCTCTTTGCACACCCCACAAGGTTTGCTGTATCCGTAACCGATGCTCCATTTAAATGCGCTACAACTATCATTCCTCTTTGGAACCCTGACAGGTGGGACATTTCAACTTCTCACAGACAGTTCGATCGAAGCATGCAATGCAGGTGACTGCTGTTGAGAGACTGATATCTTCCTCTTCATGCTGACTAGGTGGCAGAGTTCTATTGCAGGTGACCAAGCTGTACTACAAGTGTGAAATACGTCATACTTTTTCACAGGTGTTCACATTATTTTGTCCTCCATCTGTATAATATATATATATATAGCCCAGTAATTTATATGTTCCATTCTCTTTTTCAGTCTGATAATACTGCTAAGCAGAGTCAATATTTTAATATCTACTCTTATTGGGAACCTAGTAATGAATGCGATTTAGATAAGATTGCTCGTAAGTAATGATTATATGTTTAAATTTCTTATTTAGTATATATTTGATATCAATAAATTTATGCTATTTGAGTAGTTTAAAAGATGTCAGGGAAGTATTAAGAATAAAATTGTCGATACTATTCGTTTTGAGGACTGTAAAAAATCGCCAAACTATTGTTGATGCAATTGCTGCCAAAAGTAATTGCATCAACCCTAACGCAAAAAAGGAAGTATAATAGTAAATTAACTAAGATTAATTTTGTTTTAATTCAGATAAAAGGTTAATTTCATATAATACTTTGTATTATTATAATTTATATTAAAAAGGATAAAGATAACTGAATGGGGAAGCATAAGAGTAAATAATTATTTCAGATCATTATTATAATTTATATAAAAAAAGGTAAACATAACTGAGTGGATTCCTGCATCGCAATTTTCGCTACCAAGTTATTGTTAAAGCATTATTTCATCTAGTTGGTTGTTCAAACATAATTTTCTGTAATGAATGATGCCTTTTCTTTGAAAAAAAATTCTATTGCAGACTTTTCGTCACTTGGCAATTCCCAAATTGTTAAATCAACAGCGTTATCAAAAAAGGATTTAAAAATTAAACTAGTATTTCAGTGCCATCTTAAGAAATATAGAACTATCTAAACTTATGCAATTTGAAATCAGTGTGTAAGCTAGATTTGGCATGCTGTTAAATGGTCGCGTTTGCTAGATTTGGGGCCTTTTGTGCATACATTTTCGCTGCAATTTTTTTACGGTCTTCAAAACGGAATAGTACCAAATTGTCATGCTATTAAATGTGCAGTCAAAAGTTCCATAAGCATTAATATTAATTTTATTAACAATAAACATATCACTATTAAATGTGAAATATATCTGAATAATTTGCATTTATTTCATGTTCTTATATTTAACATATATGATGAAACTCATTATTCATTATTATCAATGTATAAGATGAAATTCATTATTATTAAGCAATTTATTTAAATTCCATACATTTGAATAATAATAATAAAATGTGGATGAGGTGAAAAGTAAAATTTCAGATATTGAAAATCATAATTTGTTTTTCAAGCTTACTTTTTTTGCATTAATATTTAAAATTCTACATTTTTGTCTAGAGAGTTGTTTACACTTTTGTCTCGACTTCATACCATTTCATCTCACTCATACAGAGTAAGTATCTTCTTATGTTCAATTTAATATTATTTTCTGTGTAAAATTATTGTAACATTTATAATATCATAACATTGTTTTATTAAACCAAAACTGCAGGGAGAATATAAAACAGAAACAGTTTGTTTACAATATATGGTGATAAGATAAAATCAGATTATTAGAAATCCATCCTGTAGAATTAATTTTTCAAATTACTGTAAAATATACAGAAGTTTTCATATGTTAGGAATATGGAATCAAGGTTATATTTATTTCAGAGCCATGGAACTGTATAGCCAAAAGATATTTTTGATAAGAATTATGAATTTATTTTAGAGATGTAATGTAATATCTTATAAAAATAAATTGGCATATGTCTGAAAAATCTACGTATGAGTATTGAAATCACCATGTATGTCACATATGTTCTCACTGACATCCAGACTTACTTTTACATACATCTGTGTATTGACAGTTTTTGATTGTCTTTTCAAGTCATATTGTGTGATATAGTGGATATTTATTATGGTTATAGCTGATAGCTCTTGAAAGCTCCTGAAATATATGCAGATACTCTGCATACTTTGTATACATTGTGCTTTCCATAGGGTGAAACTCAGGTATGCCAGATCAGATGATCGATCTAGCAAGAGCTTGGGAGATAATGCAGTTTTATCATAACTGCAGTTATTTACATTAAAATTCAGTAATTATTAAATATAATTATGTTACACTTTGGATACCCTGTACAAATTATGAAATCTCTTTCTCTTTTGCTTTTTGTTTGTTTAACATTTCTACTAAAACTGTTGTCTGTCATGTAGAAAACATGAATTTTTGTGGTAATCTGCTCTTAAGTTTGATAAACATTTTGAGACTCTCATTTAAAAAGATGTTTTATCAGTTTTGTGGTATTTTATAAAAAATGTACTTGAAAAAGTTCATAGATATCAGTCCCAGTATAGTCAGCATGAAAATAAATGGCAACATTTAAAGATCCAATAAAAACAATTTTAAATAGCAATAAAAAATTTAAATAAATTTAAATTATTAATTTATGAAAAATTTTGATTTTCCTAGCAGTGTAGAAATAATATTTAACTTAACACATATGAAAAATCTTAAATATGAAAGTTATATCATTAATATCAAATTTGAATTGCTGCTAAAGTGTGAAATTTACATTAATGTATTCTTAATTATCTAAATTTATATATTTCACTTTTTATTATATTATTGGCATTATTTGTATTAGCTAACAAAAATTTTTATTTATAAAGTTTAACTTATATTTTGTGTTGTTGCAGAGTAAATAAATGTGTGCTAATTTATTAAAAAGAACTTCATTAACACTTTTTTCATCTATGTTGTATATCAATAGTATATTAAATAATAAAAATTTTACACTCTTTAGATTGAATATTTTTTTAATAATTTTATTTTATTTTTTTTAATCTCAGAAATTCTCGATATATAATCATGTTGTTCATGCATCAATCATCAAGCATCATGTAAAGTGATACAGCACAGAGTCCAAAGTCTGAATGTACAATATCTGGTATGATCTGAAACCCAGATGTCTAGACCTGCAACAACCTTTTTAGTTCTAAGGGGCATTGTCCCTGAAGGATATTGTTTTCATTTTGTGATTTTGCGTTGAAAACTTTAAAAGGTTGTATCACTTTTCAGATCGTTGCCACCAAATACTATCGCCCTGTATTATATTTGAAGAATCTGTATAAATGTATGTATGTTTTCGCATTGTGAAAAACAATGGTAACTGTAGTCATCCAATTTTGAACAAAGTAATCCTGCTGTGAGTATTGGCATCTGGGAGCCCAAATTTGAAATTTGGAATTTGTTTTATTATCAATTTCCTATTTTGTAAAACTTTAACGAATTTTCGATTAACAAACCCAAGAATTTCAACATGAACAGTGACAACATTGTGCAGAAAACATTTTTGTCTCCAGCGCGGGAGACTGAGTATCAGAAATTCTAAAGATATGCTCATTTTGAAATTATTTTGTGATATTGCTGTTGAATTGAATTTTATGGTTTAAATGCAAAGAACATGATATTTTATAAATAAAGGTAACAGTCAAAACGTTAAAAAATGGCCCTTAGGACATAATTTAAAATCTGAAGCCTTTCAGATTTTTATTTATTATTTATTAATTTTTAATTATTATTTTTTGAAATTATTTTCATGCTTTACGCATGTGCATTTGATATGTTTTCATAATAAAACATGTAAAGAGTCTTGATTAATAATAAAATAATGATAATGACTAAATAAATACCTCTAAATTGAAGAAACAATCATTTAGTTGCATAAATATATATAATCAATAATTTCATTTGTAACCATGAAACAAATCATTATGTATTATTTTTTGCTTTCATCTGTAGTTTAGTTCTAAATCCAGATAATATCACTACTGACAGTGAAGAAAGTGACAGAGAAGTAGCTGAGAATAAAAGAATTTCAGTTGACAATTTAATGGGAATTCCTGACATTGAAGTTACAGGACTTTAATAATGAAACTTTGTAGCTGAACAAGAAATTATATCTATCTATTGAATTAAATAGAAAGTAATGGCACAAAATATGAAACAAGTTAAACAACTTACATTGGAAGAAATGTTTAGTAATGAACAAAAAATTGTACTTTTTTTGGGGGGGGGGTAAATTTTCTTTTCTTTAAGGCCATAAATGGTTCATTATCTCATTTTTGATATGTTTTCATAATAAAACATATATTCATATTCTTAATTTTACTGATGATTTAATGTCCAGAAAATTCCAAATCCAGAATCGCCGATCGAATCCGGACCTTAGACTTTGTGCTGTAATACTTTCTTTTTGTTTCATGTTTTAAAAACATTATATTATTATATTACATAAGCATTATATATTAAAAGCATTATATCTGCTCACATAGTCTTGCATATAAATGCAGAATAATTGAACATTGTACTATTTATTTTTGTCAGATTGGTGTCAGTTATAATAATTTAGATTGATTAACATTTAATAAATGATGCAAGAAAATAGTTTCAAATAATTATTGTCTTTATTGATGCCTTTTTTAATAATTCACATATTTTTAATACTTTATTATTTTAGACCCTTCATAAAAGGATCAAAAGAAATGGTATGGCTTTTAAGTGGAAGTGACTGTAAAATTCATATGTATAGAGAAGTAAGCATATGTATTACATATGTAACATATATTTATAGTGAACCCTATAATGATCACCTGTGTTTCAGATGATTTTCATCTTTTATGGAGATAGTCACATTAAAGAAATTAAGTTCAAACTGTCATTTTTGTTCTATCATTCATATTCTCAAAAACACTGATCACTTTCAAAGGTTAGAAGAAAGAAGTTGGGTAAAGAATATATAAAAGGAAATATTAATTTTTATTTCAGACTTCTGTTTATTTCTCTATAGCAATATGTTTATAATATGACCCCTTTAGGGAAATTTTCTTTCAAACTTGTTTTTCTTTCAAAAATGATCAAAGGGGTTGGCTTCATCCGTTTTTTTTTAAACTGTAGTTGGCTTCTCTAGTAGTTTCTTCACCTGTTGAATGAACAGTTCTGCTCGGAGGGCAGACAGAATAATGGGCACTTCATCCATATTAATTATTTGCCCTCTATTCAAATTTGTTCTTAGATGTATACTCCAAAGAAGCTATTTTTTTTCCTCAAGCCACTCTGCGGGAATCTTCTCTCTGTTTTCGTCCGAACGGATAATGTCTTTCATTTCATGAACCTAAAATGCCAAAAAACTTCAAACAAAGTTTTTCATGCTAATTTGTTGAGCAATTACTTTTGCTTGAAAGCATATTCTATCTAAAGCATAATACTGCATTTTTGGTCTTCCAAAATAGGCTGGGCTGTTACTCCAGTCTGACAAGATCATTTATTCTGAAGCATTTTCTCTAATTCTTGTTCAAAGTTCCACTGCTGAATGTATCTCTCATCAACTTGAAATTTTCTAACCACAGCCGAATTTCCAATTTTTGTCTATTTCTTCACTGCTGAAAGCTTGAAAGCGGCTATATAACTTTTTCTTTGAGTTGAAGCTATAATAATATAATTAAAAAAATTCAACAAGAGCAAATAATAAAGTAAGCAGTAAGCAAGCCATAAAGTAATGAGACATGTGTAAGAATAAACACAGAACTTGGTGAAATAAAAGTTACTGTGGCTGTTGAAAAGAAGATGGTCATAGGTAAATTCAAGCAAAATCACAGAATTGAGCAAAGGTTACAATGCGCAAAAAAAGAGGGGGGGGGCAGTTTTATATCTTATGTTTTACAGGGCTGATTGACAAAATTCAAATTGCATTTTTCATGTCTGGAAAGCGCAACTTAGATTGACAAAATTCAAATTGCATTTTTCATGTCTCGAAAGCGCAACTTAGAATATACATTAGATTTATATATAACAGGTATTTTGACACAAAATTGGGTTTTTTCTGAAATAACATACTAAATTTTCCCCAGATTTTGATTCTACGACTGAAATTATGCCTAGATACTAAATTTTGTAAAATTTGCTGTGAAATTTATGGAGAAATTCAAAAATTTATCTTGGCACTATTTTTGCAGTTTGCACCAAGAATAGTTCACTCTGCAAACTTCTTAATATGTAGCAACCAATTTTTCTTTCCCTTCTATTATACCAGAGCGGAAAAAAGGCACCTCGTTCATACCTTTTTGCATTGTGCGTGAGCGGAAAAAAAATTCACTTCATTTCTACTTTCAAATAATTTTAGCAAAGTGTCTAAACCACATTTGATGTTTTATCGCTTTCAACAAATATGCCAAATTTCAAAATTTGCCAATATATAACTTAACGTTTGGAAATTTTGAATAATAAACTGTAATTTTTTGCAGCAATACGTATGCTTAGAAATACGTGTACTTTAAGATGGTAAAAATTATACAGATTATAATTCAAAAATTTTTTGAAAAATTTATAAAAATTATTTAAAAATACAATTTTTAAAAATAAATCATAAAAATGGGTGAGTTTATTTGGAATGAACCTAAATTTCGAAATATCAAAGGAATAATCAAATAAGTTTAATAAAAAAAAGAGAGATTAATAAATATATACCAATATCAATTAATATTGAAGAGCTAAAATTTTGAGAGCTAATTTTTTAAAAACTACCCATGTGATTTTTAGAAAACTTGGTAGTTTGGCGTAAATTGAGTCGTAGAATCGAAATATTGAAAAAAATTGTATGTTATTTCAGAAAAAGTCCGATTTTGTGTCAAAATACCTATGTTAAGACAGTACTATGTATAAATCTAATACATATCCTAAGTCGCGCTTTGGAGACATGAAAAACGCAAGTTGAATTTTGTCAGTTGGTTCAAAAATGGGAGATATAGAACTGTCCCCCCTTTACAGTGTACATGCATTATGGTGTCTTTACACATTCTAATGTAGTTAAGTGAGTTTCACACAAGTTCGAACTTGTTGCACTGCTTTAGCACAAGCTTAGCTTTCATATCAGGCTAAAAATGTTGCAGTGAATTCTACATTGACTCTTTCGCTTGTGTGTAACTTATGATCTAAACTAATGAATTTCTAAAGACAGTTGAGAAATAAAATTCCTTTAGATATGTTGCCCTTTAAATGCATATAAGCTGTGGTTTATCTGTTTGAAATTACGGTACTTTATAGAAAGGCTATAACAGTCTTTAATAGACAACACAAAGTGGTACTTTACTTGAAGCTCATAACAGTTTTTAATGAAAAACTATATTAAAATATAATATAACACTTTTCAGTTTTAATATTTAATTCAATTTTGTGTTTGTTTCACTTTAGTGTCAAATCATTTTTCAAATGAAAGCCACCAAATGTTATCACTGTATTTATTTTAAAGATATGATATAGCAAATATAAAAATTTTGTGAATATAAAATAAATGTATGGCAACAATTAACACTCTATGGAAGTTCTAAATATATGCTGGTTTTAAAGATTTTGTTGTTCAGTTTTATGTAACATAAGTACGAATAAAGTGATGTTTAATAAATAAAACTAAAAATGACAAATAAAAAAGTTGGTCATCATATTAAGAAAACTGAACATTGATATCATAAACCGAGGAAAGACTGAAAAAGAATTGTATTACCACTATTCGGAATTCTAAAAATATGCTGCTTTTAAAAATTTCGTAATTGTCAAGTCATTGATTTGCATAGATCAAACACTATATGACCAAAAGATATATTATGATTGATGCAATATTTTCAAATGAAAGCATGAGAATAGATGTGTACATGAGCAGGTATAGTTATCATTGTCCACTGCCTGAGAGAATAAAGTAATAAAAGATGAGTAGTGTTTATAACAACATAAAGCCATAAAATTTATAAATAAATTAAATTTTATTTGCAAATAATCAACCAGACGTGATAGTTTACGTTAAGTTTGTTTTGGCGGAATAGTTTTCACCAGTTTCATGTCTTAATAGGCTGGAGGTCCTGTGCTAACCACATCAGACTTTTTATTCTCGAGGAGCACATTCGTAATCTCTTCGCTTCTGGCACTGGCAGAACTTACATGGCTATAACCTTGGCAGGCTGAATGTTACTATGTGCCTGAACAAATTCCAAAATTAAGCTTAACATGCAAAAATAATTCCTATCTGGCTTTTCATAAAAGTGTTTGGATTCTTGCACATGTTATTTAAATGTCATCTTTTATAATATGAATAGTACCAATATTTACAACTAAACTGTAATTTAAGTTAATATTCAGTAATAATAATGATTATATTTCTATATTTAAATTATTTACTAATGAAGTTGGAAATTTCTAAACCCTGAATGTAAATTGTAATCATTGTGCATTTTACATTTTTTGAATAAAATAGTATACTATATGCATAACGACAAGATTAATACTCAAGACATGCCATTCAATTAATTGTCAGGCATTCAGCCTGATTTATGCATATTTAAAATCTTAAATAAAGCACTCTATTTCAGCAGATTGTTTAATGCAATATGTTGAGTCTGGAGATATGCAGTCATTCCTGCAAGAATTATTATTTGATTAATTCTTTTTTTGTGCAAGAAAATTCTTCATGGTTTTAACATAGTGAATACCGGTAGAATCCCACTATAGCATATCTCTTTGCCACCTCGCAAAACATGTGGTAGAAATAAATCAACCCACTTTCTTATTGCTGCTTATGTGTACCAACCATTTTCAGTCTCAAGAACACAAATATCTGAAACACATTCGGTTTTCTCTCTATTGCCCTTAAAGATGATTAGAGGGGGTTTTCTTTGCATTGAGATGAATTGCCAAAATACAGGTAATGTGTGCACTTTCGCAGTTAGTATATCGCAAAGGTACTCCTCTGATCGATGGTAGTTTGAAACCCTTGCCTCATAAGCACTGCGATTTCATCCATAGGAATCATGTTCGAGAGTTGGTACGTAAAAAAGTCAATGCCATTAACAAAACATTTGAGAATGCATGCACATGTTTAATCACTTCAGTATCTTTAAATTTGAACAGTGTTGTTCACTTTTTCACTTTTTTAAAGCTAATTGTATCATTGAAGGAAGCCATCTACTCAGTGTTGTGCTTCATTGAATTTATCTTGCAGTATGTTTGACTGTTGTGCTGTTGCAAGAGAAAGTGCTTGAATATTAGCCCTGTGAACAACGAAATGCATTGCTCTACTATCATCTTGTCCATTCACAGATGATGCATTCTAATACAGGAAATAATGGTTGCCGACCTGATCCACACTTCTTGGCATTTCCCTCATTGACCTGTTGACTGAGGTTATTGTACTCTGATCATCATTTTTGGACCATTAATAGATCCAACTTCTTTACAAAAAGCTGTTAGATTTTTTATCCCTAGAGTCTTTCATAATTCTTTTTTTGTACTTGATGGAATAGCTCTTTCTTTTTGCACTCATTTTATCTGAGTATCAAATTTTTTTAAATCAAGTGCTAAATGTTCGTTGCTTACACCACTTATTGATTAATAAAGATTTTAATTTGCCACAGTCATATTTATTTGCTTCAAATGTCCATATGTTTCGCACCTAGTCATTCAGCAATAAGGCACCCATCTGGCTAACAATCTTAATTAGTGCTTATTTTAGGGGTAGCGCTTATATTAGGAGTACCCTGAAAAATATGCTTATTTTTTTATTTGGTCATATTTTCAGCGAAACATGGTATTTTGATAGGCCCTCTAATTTTGCCAGAAGTTCTGTTAGAATGTTATGAGTACAAACTTCCTGCAGGTAATTGTTGTAATCTATTACTGATTTGTTAGCTATAACCAGCTTTTTTTTTCTCTGTTCAACAGATGTTAATTCTCTTAATCAGTTGTAAGTGAACAATGGTGCAGTTACAAATGGACAAATGTTACCCTGGAATTACATTGCTTTCAGAGTGGATATTCTCTTGTTACAATTTTTAACACCGCATTGTCATTGTTTATCTGTTTTCAAATAAAATACCTTATTGTTTCCATTAATATACATTCTTTTTGATGGATATATCCTATAACTTAGAAAATAATCTACTGCTTGCTGTTTTGTAGACATCACGTCCCAAATTTTAATAATTTTTTTCAAAATGCAAGAAAAAATTACAGCAGTAACAATTAATTTATATTCTTGTTCATAAAAACAAAAGGTGGCTGAGGAGTCATTCAGTCATTCAGAACAAATAAAGTCAATCAGGTAAACAAAAGAGTTCATCAGAGTTACATCAAACAAAAGTACAGATGTATGCTGTGTGTTTTTATGCAACTTTTATCCATGGTTAAATCGAGTAGCTTAGCAACAGTTTCATGGTTGCTGGGAAGTACTGTGGGAGATCTAGCAAGCAAAGGAAAAAGATTATTTGAAGGCCGTAGCTGAACAGAATCCAGTGGCTGTATTAACTGTAAAAATTGGCCAACAGAGATATTTTCCCCATTGAAAATTTTCTGTTTCTTATAAAACACTTCTTTATTATTATTACAGGGAGTGGCAGGGAAACTACCTTATTTTTAAAATGAATAACACAAGTAGCGTAAGCACTGTCAGTTTAATTTTTTTCCAAGTTATAGAGAGACACACATAAAGTTTTTTTTTATTATGGTTTAAAAAGTAATATCATAAAGGTAGCCTCCGTTCTGGTCAATGCATTGAGATAGTCGAGTTTTGAAGCTTCTTTCCACTTTTACCAGCATATCAACGGTTATGTTGTCGATAGCAGTTTGAATATTGTTCTTCAGTTGAGCCAGGGTTTTTGGATGTTAAAGATTTCAGATAGCCTTACAAAAAGAAATCACATGGGGCTAAATCAGGCGAGCGCGCTGACCACTGACAATCGCCTCGTAAGGAGATAAGGCGTCCAGAGTAATGTTCTCCAAAAAATCATGGTCCAATGATGCCTATTCTGGACAATGCACACCAAAAAATCACACGTTCTGTTATAGAGGGGCTGCTGATGAAATTCTCTGGGATTCGTGCCACTCCATTATCGCATGTTTTGCTTAAAGCATGCTACAACCGGAAAGATGAAAATGAGCCTCATTGCTAAAGAACACAAGGGCATCATGAGGCGTATTGTCAAGAATGGCTTTGCATGCATTTTTTCGTGAAAGAAAATCACATGGATCAAGTTTTTGCACCACTGCCAATTTATAAGGATGAAAATGCAGTACGTTGAAAAGTACGACTCCACGGAGAACGTGCACTCCTCTCTCGTCCACTGCATGATCGGTACTAAACCTACATGATATAAAACTTTAGATACCGCTCTTTTCAATGAGCACCACTCCACCCTTCTTGGAATGAATGTTGCTAGATGGCGTGCGTTTCAAATAAGGAAATTTCCCTGCCGCACCCTGTATTTGTGACCTAAATGGTACTCAAACAGAAACTTATTTTAAAAATTTATAATATATCTGTGAATAGTAATTTCTTTTTTCACCTTTGGTGAGAAGTAATAATGTCAAAAGTTTTAAATATTGTATTTATTTTATGTATATCTTGTTTTTACATGGTTTAATTTTATAGTCCAAAATTTAGTTATTTTTTCTATCAGGATAAAACTCGACAAACATATAGCGAAGAACCAAGTGATGTTTGTTTCCCAGAATTTGAAGATCTGACATCAGTGTAAGTTTAATTTTAAACAGATTTTATGTAAATTTTCCTAGAAAGTTGCATGATTATATCACATACTCCATAACTTTTAAATACACTGTAAGGTCAAAAATATTCACACATTCCCAAAATGCAAGGCTATTTGCAATAAATCAAAATTACCTAAAAAATTAAATATATGCCTAAAAACATATTTACAAAAATGTTTTTACAATAAAAGAGAATTCTAGTAAAAAAAAAAAAAAAAAAAAAAAAAAAAAGTTATCTTGTGAAACACAATTCACTCAAGTAGACTGAAAAGATTAAACATGATTCAGAGTTCCTTAATTGTTGATTGTATCAAAAAAGGCTAATACCCTTTGAAAGTTGGACTTATTTCATGGAATCAGCAGCATTCAATGTTTTTTATAATATATCTTCAACTGACCAACATATTCAATGTGTTACAATAATTTTTTCATTACAATAGACTTTTACTCTACTTTTTCTGGGCTGGTAATCTCTTTAGTTAATAAATTCATTTAATCTTAGCTGTATTAGTGTTAGATTTTGGTTCTGCAAGTCCAATTTTTAGTAATTTTAAAAGTGTTATTTTAATGTGTATATATTATGTATAGCACTGGCGCCATAATTTTTTTACACCTTAGGTAATCAGTACAGTTTGTACTTCATATGAATTAAACATAAATTCAAAGCAAACTATGATATGAACTGAATAGCAGGATCATAGTTTGATCCTGCTATTCAGTTCACTTTTAAACTCGAGACTTGCAATTCTCTTCCGTTTCTCAACATTCTGGTCACATGTAACACATCCAAATTCAGTACTACGGTTTGCCTTCCATCACACTTCAAATCATGTCATCGAACTAAACAAAAGTTAGCTTCATTTTATTCCTATGTTTTCCTCGCTCTTCAAGTTTGCTCCTCCAAACTATCCCTTGATGAAGAACTAAATTATTTAAAAGTAATAGCTATTGACAGGGGCTTTTCACCCTACATTATTAACCAAGCAGTTAAAAAAATGCTCATCTCAACACACCAAAAGGCACACTCTTGTTTTAGGAGATTATAAAAATTCCGTTGTCATTCCCTTCTTTCCATCAATTAGCTATAAAGCTGCACATATTTTGCAGAAATTTAACTTTCGAGTCGTTTATTCTCCCATCAATAAAATTCCGAGTTCCATACTCAAGGACCCCATTCCAGATATTAATTCCTAGGGTATTTTACAGGATTCCTTACCAGTGTGGTTTAATTTACATTGGCCAAACTAAGAGAGTCTTAAAATTTCGTGTTAAGGAACATGAGGCATATGTTAGAAAAAAGGAAACACAGAAGACTTCTGTTGCTCAACATTGTTGGTCCGAAAATCACACTTTCAATTTTTCTGCTGCCAAAATTATTCAAAAAACATCTTCTATTGGTGAACTGGATTTTCTAGAGGCATTTCACATTTAAAAAAAAAAAAAAAAACCTTTCCATTCTAGTTAACAATCCTAATTTCAATCACCTTTGTCTTCAGGCTTTAAAGAAATCATGTTTTAGTTCTGGTTTCATCAACAGATGGTGCCAGTAGCTTGTCTCCTGTCCAGGCTTTCTTATCTTATCATTGTATCTTATCTCGTTCATTTGCGCTTTTACAGCTGCGGATGATGGTTCGTAAAACCATTGGAACTAGTCCTTTGAAAATTTGAAAATATAATGCTGATTTTTGTTGTTTGACTTCTAAATTAATATTTGTTTGGCGTGTTATTGCATCTTAATCATTTTAGATATTGGACATCTGAATTATGGACTTAGTATTGTATAATCAAAAGATAATAATTAAATCAAAAGTGGTGCGAACTAGCTAACAGAAAAAATAAAAATCAAAATTGAAACAAAATGTTAAAACAACTCAATAAAATTACATAAAACTATAACAAATAGTTGAAATTTCTTTGGTCTTTTTTTCAAGAAACAGCCAAAAAATTTTTCAATAAAGTTTCAGTTTATATTTCTGAATTATATCTAAATGATTAAAAAAAAACAAAGTCATGAAATAATTCAAAATTAAGGGCAAATAATAACAAATTTAAAGTAATTTAAAACATAAATACAAGGCCATGAAAATTTTCTTTTGTAATATTAATAAAAAATGCAATTAAAAATCAAGCTTAAAATTTATAAAATTTTAAAACATCTATCAAAACATAATCTGTACCACAGGGACCTTAAATAATAATGCTGTACAAAAATTAAATGGTATAGAATTAGAATCCTTAAAATTAGAAACCAGAAAAAACAAAGGCGAATGAGTAAATTAATATTTTTACAATAGATGTTGAGCCTAAGAAATGTGCAAAAATGTGACATAACTGTTATAAAATAAAAGTAATTAAATTTTAATGTCAAGATTTAAGGAAACAAAACAAATTTATGTTAAAAAGTAATTTACTTAAAAGTAAATAAGAATCTGTTAAGATAATTTTTTGCACAAATAAAGTTTCCATATTGAAGAAAAGTGATATAAAAAAAATAGAAGGCAGTATGCTTAAATTTGGAAAATAATTGAAAAGACAATTAGCCCAAAATTAGGGAAAGAAATTAATTAAATAATAAACTGAATGCTTCTTCAATGGCCAGACAGTGCAGGATGGGCCCTTGCCTTCTTCAAAAATCGAATTTCAAGCTCTTCTATCCTTGGCCATGGGCATCCAGTTAGTTATTTTTAAAATTATTAAGTCTGTTTCCAAACATTCGAACCACCTAAGTTTAGGTCTCCGTCTTTTTCGGGTGTTTAATGATCTGGACGAGATCTTTTTAGTTATACGATTTTCATCCATTCTGCACAGGTGTCCTGCCCATTTAATTCTCTGAATCCTTATATATTTTACTATATCTAGTTCTTTAAAAGATTTATAGAGTTCAGAGTTAGTTCTTCAAATAATAAACTGAATGGAAAAGGAAATTAAAAACCTGCTTAAAAAGTTTTTCCTTAATTCCATTGTGATATGCCATGAGTTCAGCTGCTCCTTGGAAAAGACCCAAGAATTTTCAACTATTTGTTATAATATATATTTTTATGTTATTTTGTTTTCGCTTCAAGTTTAATTCATCTTCCTTCCTGTTAGCTAGTTAATCAGATTATGATAAACCCTTGCTGAACATGGAGGTTATGTTATCAACATTGTGCGTACAAGAAAATCACATTCCACAAAGTTAACTTTCTGTGAAAAAATCTAGTTAGCTATAGTTCAGATTTAGAAAGTATGTGCACTTTATACAAACCTAAATATTATTGTAAATAGAAGGAAAAAATCCAGAAAATGTTCATTGAAAGGGTTTTTAATACTGTTTAATAAGTAGGAACATGATACAGTTATTTTTTTAAATAGCTGGTAATTTTTGCTTTGGATAATGCATACCTGCCAACTTATACGAATTTTTCGTAATTTTTATGAAAATGCGTTTGTCTTTACGTTTTTTTTCCTTTTTCAAGTGTTTTTAGTGATTTTTGTCGAAATTTTAGAATTTTTCGCCAATTCAGCGATTTTTTTTTTTTGCCAATTGCATCGTGTTTTACCGCCAACTACCGACTACTTCAAATCCAGTAACCTGCGGTGTCTCCCAACTTGCCGTTTAACCAGCCAATCCAATGCGCTGAACTTGTTTCTCCCACTCTTTTCTTTGTGGGCGCCAGATTATTTTTTTCGCGTTCGCTTCAGCAGCAAGGGAATTACTCAGCTCGGACTGCATTGCCGAAGCGTTTTATGGATTGTCGCATTTTCTGTTGTTGTTTTGTTTTTTGTTTGTTTGCACGTGCTACGAATTTTCTTAATACGTCGTTGTTACGAAATGAGTTCAAAAAAACCATATTCTCAATATTTTTGGCCTGCCTACAAAGCCGAATTTCCAACAATTAAAGAATCCTTCAAAGGAAATAACTATGCATTTTGCAACGTGTGCGTGTGCGACTTCATAATAAGTCACGGTGGAAGAAGCGACTTTGTGAAGCATGTTAAGTCTAAAAAGCATGAAGTTAATGCTTCGGCTTCGACAATGTCAAAGAAAGTGGATGATTTTTTTTTCAAATTCGGCTACGAATTCGGATGCCGATGTCATTTTGGCAGAGTGTTTGTTTACTGCATTCCTCATCGAACACAATGTGCCGCTAAGCGCTGCCGATCACGCTGGTCAACTTTTCAAATGGATGTTTCCTGACTCCAAGATTGCTCAGAAATATGCTTATGCTCGCACGAAAACATCTTCTATTGTGAATGAAATTGCTTGTGATGTACAAAGTAAAACGATAGCTGCACTCCAGAATTCAGCATTTTCGGTGTCAATCAATGACAGCAACGACAGCGATTGGAAGCTTTACCCCATTGTTGTCACATATTTCTGTGATGTTTCTAATGAAATGAAAACTCATCTTTTGCGTCTTCCATTGTTAAATGGAGACGCTACGGGGGAAAATATTGCCTCCTTGGTAATTAATGAGTTGAAACAACTTAACATCCCAATATCAAACTGCATTTCATTTGGTGCAGATAATGCTCATGTCATCGTAAGTGACAAAAAGGGTGTAGCCTCTTTCCTCAAAAAAGAACAAAATGAATTAATTGTTATTGGATGCCCATGCCACTTAATTAATTTGGCAGCAGAAAAAGCTGCAGCTGTAATTCCACACAGTAATGCTGAGTGCGAGAGAGTCTTCAGTGTTGTGAAGAAAAACAAAACTGTGTTTCGTTCTTCAATTTCACCAAAAACTCTAGAAAACATTTTAATTGCTAAATGTTATGAGGAAACTAATTGTTATGACAGAAAATTTTCCAAAAAATTTTTGGCTAAAGCCAAAAAATGCACTCTAAATTCATTGCAATAATTTTTTTGTGTAACATTAAGTTCTTGTTTTATGTTTCCTAATAAATTTTTTAGTTACTACTTAATTGAGATTTACTAATGCAAGTACAATTTTCTTTTTTCTATTTGTATAAATTGTTATTTTTTTAATATCAAAGCATGATATTAATTCTTCGTGTTCTTCTGAATTTGGGGGAGAAATCTTCTGAATTTTTATCTTTAGAGGTTGGCAGGTATGACAATGTCTGATGCAACTTATTAAATATTTTTCAGTAAAAATTGCAAAGTTCTTTTAATACTTCTCTTAAAGTATCCTCTTCTTTCTTCATTTGGGTCAATCTCAATTACAAAATCAGACAATTCTTGTGCCATTTTTAACAATTTGTTTAACCTCTATGCTAAAAGCTCTTTATCGTTTTGAGTATTGCTGCTTTCATCGTCAGCTAGTATTATATAATCATCCAGTTCTTCCACAGCTTTATCATTTTCATCTAATTATTAAATTTCCCCTTTTTTCATACCTGAAAATCCTTTGTCACCTATTGGTTTTGCAATCTGTACAATTTCCTTAGCTTCATTTTCAGTTGATGGAAATCCTTTAAAATTGTTGACAACCTCTGACCAGAGCTGATATCAGCAAGCATTCATTATTGATGAATTCATGCAAATTTATCACATCTATGCAGTATTTTATGTTAAATTGCTTCCAAAATACCATTAGTGTGTCATGCTTTCCTTCATTGGTGCTTTATTTACAGATATGTTAACATGCCTGGTGTAATAGGCTTTGAATGTTTTTATGATTCCTTGATCCATTGGTTGGATTAAGGAAGTGGTATTTGATTGAAGGAATAAAAACTCTACATTTGGATGCAATGTTGTGAGGCCTTCAGTATCTTGTCCTGAAACATTATTGAGAATTAAGAAAACTTTTAAAGCTAAATTTTTACTGTTTTAAGCAATGTTTGATTTTCTTTTAAAGAAAGAATTTTCAAACCAGCCGTTAAAGAGGACTATTGCTATTCAACCGATGCTCTGCAACTTACCCGCATACAATTCAAATTCTTATATTGAACAGATTAAATGGAGACAGTTAAGGTAATCTGTGTATACAAAATTGTGTTCTGCAAGTTTACATTTGGTAAGGGTTTACCGTATTTAATTAATTTTGTAGCATACTGCATGACTTAAGCAATCTCAATTTTGAAATTTCTAAACTCTTATTTATATAAGGTGTATGTATGAACTTACCAGTATGGATGCACACTTTTAAAATAATTCTACTTTAATTAAACTTAGGAGATAATATAATCAATTAATCAATACGGTTTAGGAAATAAATTATTATATATGTATATATATGTACTTATATTCTATACACATAAACACATGTATATTTCTATTTATTATTTGTGATGGAAGCACATTTATATTCTTTTGTTGAAATTTATCGTATACTTTATACATACATCAATAAAATGAAAGTTTTCCTTCTCAGTATTAATTATTTCTGTATATAGAGTTATGTGGATGGATTTTATAACTACAACTGAAACAAGATTGACAGCTTTTGGTTGCAAAGATGGTTCTGTGATAGTAACTTATCTAAATCTTATGCCAGGTAGTATTCCCCCAAATTTAACTTTTAACAAATTGATTATAAATATTTATTCTCATTATAATCAATTTGATAATCTTTGGAATTAGACTTTTTTTGTGCTTTATTATAATGTCACTTTAGAAGTCAGAATCCAGTCATCATGGAAAATTCAACATGATGGCCCAATATCGTTTGCAAAGCTTTTTCAAGATTCAGTCAACTCTTCATCTCAAGGTAAATTTTTTAAATCATAATACCATTTTGAAACTCTGTTGTGATTTTGAAAGATTCTGGAAGAGAAATATGTAAGTGATATTCCAGGTTCACTTTCAAATAGAGCTTTTCAATTAAGGGAAACTTTAAATATCTCACTGCATTAGAACTAAATTAATATTTATGGTTTATTTATAAATATTCATTGGCTTGATATTTACACAATGTAAAAATAACTTTTTAAAAGAAGTTACGCATAAATATGCTCAAAGGAAACCCAAATGAAATAATGGATGCAGATGAGTTGCTTTTTTACTTTTTTGTGTTAAAAAAAGGAAGTACTGTAATCACGAGAAATTTCGGGTATCAAAAATATCCATTTCGACCGCTCTCAAATCTGTTTGCATGATATCTGCACACAAGGACAGAATAAAGGATGCTTCCAAAATCTTTCAATTTTTTTTATATCATTTTAAATGTTTTGTCTTCATAAAATTATCACCAAGTACATGAGCTGGGATAATTAATTAATACCAATTTTTCTTAACTACTTATTAAATGCCAGTTTTGAAATAACTGAATATGAAATTATTGCTGTGAGAATCTAGTTGCATTTTGCAAAACTGCATATTATATTTATGTCAAATATTTTTAATGCTTAATGATCTCATATGTTCAATATAGCATAGCACATCGTTATGTTTTTGATGAATTAATTAGAAATGAACAATTTCATATTTAAAACTGCTGGAGAAAATTAATTATGTTTATTTAATTTGAAAAAATTATAAATACTTCTAATTGCTTTTTCCAATATTTGATACAGATTTGTTTTTAATGTTTGCAGTCCTATTTTTTTTAATATCCCAAAGAACGTGTTATTTCCACTGTGTGAATTTTATGTCCTAGTAGAACAGAAATTGTTACTTGTAGCAGGAAATATTTGTGATCCATATTTATGAAATATTTTGTAAAAACTAATAATTTAATCTGAATTATTAGGAGGTGATATGAACATGGATTCTGTAAATTTATTTGTTGGAAACACTTTGGAAGTATCTGTTGTGTACAGGTAATTACAAATGATTACTTTTAAATTTTTTTAAAAAAACGTTTGTAGCATTAATTTTAATAGCAATATAATATTAATAAAGTGTTCCTTGTATACTCTTTTAGGTAGGCATTACTAAGGCAAATAGATTCTAGCAGCAAATTATTACTCAAGAATATTAAATCTAAAATTTTTTCTGAATGGTTAAAAATATTTATGGATTTAAATTACTGTAATTCATGCTATAGCCACAATTTACTTTGAAATATGTGTAATTACTGATATAATTGAAAGTAAAAAAATACTAATTATCTTTTCTATGTATCTTATTAGAGATATTTTGAAAAATGGCCTGGATTTATCATCACAGTACTTTTTGCCTAACAGTAATAAATATGACTGTGCTACATGTGGTTTGATTGCGGATATTGATATGGATGGGAAGAATGACTTATTGTTAGGCACATATGGTCAAGTGAGTATTATAAAATTTCGAATATGTGTTTGTGAAATATGATTTTGTATTTTCTTCCGTTTTGTTTTCCCTCAATAATACAGTTATCTTTTCCACTATTATATTTTATCAGTTTCAAGTTAAAATACATAGCCAACATTTCTTTTTCAAAAATGAAATTTTTCTTGTTTGTATGAGTTAATCCTTTCACTGCTGAAAACAGAATAATATGTTTTATAAAATATATGCCTGCCATATTGAAGACTACTTCATGAATTTTTCCCTTTGTTGAAAATATTTAGTGCTTTGCAGAATCATCACATAGGAATTCAGCAGAATGAATTTTACATTGGCTTGTATAAGAATATATATTCAGAAACAAAAAGATTAAAATTCTGTTTCCTAAGATGATTTTCTTATGAAAAGTAACAATTTATTTTTTTGCAGCATTGCAGTGCATTATAAATGGAATTTTTTATTAAACTGGATACCTCTGTATCATAATACTAATAAATCTAAATAATTTTAGATTTAAAATTTTTAGGAAAATAAATAATTATCAACATTAACTGTCTTACATTAAATCTATATGAGGAGAATATTAATTTTTTTCAAATATGAAAAATAATATAATATTATTAGTGTAATCAGGATAATAACCTGAAAGCAGGGGATAAAGTATAAACAATGTGTAACTGATAAGTAATATATTCCAGTTATTTTAGCAGAAATATTTGTTATTTGAATCTTGTAAAGAAATGTTATTAAATGGAATCAATGAATAAATTGATAATTAAACTTTATATTTTCCAGTTTTACACAATTTCATTATTCATTTTTAGTCTGATAAAAGGCTTATCAGTAAAACTTATTTTACTTTAATTAATTTATTAGACTCATAATTAAACTGATAAATTATCGATTAGATGGTAAGCAGAAGTTTTAGCATTGAAGTGAATAAAACAATGAATATATAAATATGGTAATACATCAGCCCTATTTGAAAAAGTATGTGAAATGTAAGAGTAAAGAAGTTACTGAAACTTTGTCAGTAATTCTTTACTTAGTTTCTCCTGGTTATCTGAGTTAAATTTAATTTAAATAATTAAGGAATTTCTTCCTTAGTGATCTGTCAGCCTAATGTGGGAGACAAGATGCCATTGCATTTTATCAAATCACATGCCTTAATCTTCAGATCTTAATTTGATGATAATAAATATAATTTTATATGTCCAAATATGTAACTGTGTAGAAATAACTACTGGCTTGCAATTCAGTTTCCATTCCGTGAATAAGCGTTACAATTACCTCCCAAAGTAATTAATTCACTATATGACTGTTCAAAGTGAGTGATTCACCAAACCAGAATATGCCATGTGGTTAAAAAATTTCAGAAGTGTATTTTCTTAATCATTGGAACTGCCAAATAATTAGGGCAATAAGTTATAACAAATAAATAATGGCAATGATTATGAACATTTATCCATTTAAAATATTATTTCTTTGCTTAGAAGAATTTAAATAGAGTATTTTGTTGTGGTTATGAATTAAAAGGTTAACCACAAAAAAAAAAAAAAAAAAAAGTTAGGCTTTGCAGAAATGGCAAACAGAAATCCTAAATTTTTCAGATAAATTCTTAATGATAAAATTTAGTGTTTTACAATAACCCAAATGAAAAATAATAACCATCTAGGAGGACGAGAAAAAATTCATTTATGCAAGATAACACTGCTTTTAAAAGCTTCAAATAATAACTGTGTTGGCAATCTCCCTTTTAAAAAACTGCAAGGGATAATTCACAGATTTTCATTTGAAGGGAAAGTAGACTCCATTTCTACAAAGCAACAATAGATCTATGGAGTAACAATTTAATTAATAGTAATGAAAAATTTTAGGAATGATGAATAATGCCATAAAAAGAATAAAAAATAATGCCATAACATGGGGTTGAATAAAATTAGTAACACAACAACCTTAAATTTGGCATGGATTTAAGTCAAGATCTCAATCAATTTCAAAGGCAACAAGGTACAGGCTGCTCTTCATCAGGAGCAAAGAAATCTGCAAGACTGGAAAGCAGTGGTCATAACTGTCATACTTATTCTCCACAGTAAAGCGAATGAGAAGGTAGCACCATCTATCGGCAACTGTATTAATGAAATTCAAAAATTAAGTTAATAGAATTTTAAAAGTATTAGGAAGAACTGGATTGGACTTAAAGCCATTAAAGCAAGATAAATCTGTTAATGTGAAAACCCTCAAGAAAATTCAATTCAGCGATTGAAGAAGCTTTCTGAATGCTTTTTGCAGACCCAAAGTTAAAATTGTGATTAAATTTCCAACAGTGATTAGCTATTGAAGATTCGTTAATTTTGCCTTTTGGGACATAAGATACATGTTCCTTGATAAGAAACTTTAATGCTCTTGTAGTTTGGTTGGTGTATCTCAAACCACACTGACACAATATGCTATAAATTCCCAAAGAATTAAAGTTAGAAATGGAATCTCTAAGAGTCAAACCACGAAATAACATTAATAACCTTGTCGTGCTTCCTTCTGTCTGTTATAAAATTGCATGCGTTCTTCATAATTTTCATTTCTCGCCTATCAGGAAAATCCACGGTTTGGCTTGTAAAGATTCCATTTCTAACTTTAATTCTTGGGGAATTAATAGGATATCATGTCAATTTGGTTTGAGATACATTAGCCAAACTAAAAGAGCATTAAAGTTTCCTATCAAGGAGCATGAATCTTATGTCCGAAAAGGCGAAATTAACAAATCTTGGAAAAAAGATCCCTTACGACATTGCCAAACTTTTTGCAGCCACTCATGCATGATTGTTTCACACATCCAGCCATTCTCGTTTGCACAAATAATTATGTCATAAGAAAAATCTCCCTTCGGAATAGTTTTTCCATTAAAAATGATCATCGGCTTTAGCTTGTCGTACCGTTTGCGGCACAAGCTAACACACATGCAAATTACCTTTCATGCCTCGTCGTAAACACAGATACAGTTTTTGCACCAGTTTCATCAACAGTTCTGTTTGCAGTAGAGTCGAAAGCTAACGCCGTTTCATCTATATTTATTATCTGTGACCGAAGAAGTTTTTTTTTTGTCAATAATATCTGTCACATATTTTAGAAAAGATGCCTTTTTATCCTAATCATTGGTAATTGTTGCTCGACTGTTGTTCTAGTACGCACAGAAATATTTTTTCTTTTCATAAATCTGCTATATCAGCAGGGCCCTTCTTTGAAATCATTTATGTTCATTTGTTTTGCTATAAATTTTGCTTGTAAGCAAATTTTTACAGTCAAAATTGCCATTTTGCGAGGCAGGTGGGGTTGTGTCCGCCTTTAAAAAAATTGCAGAAGAGGCAGGAGTGGGGAGAGGATGGGTCCTGGAAGATTCATCGAATGGCAAAGGAGAGAGACTATTGAAAATGATGAGAATGCTGATTTGAAAGGGGGGAAGAATTCTTCTGAGATCCTGTTTAGGGTGAATAAGGCATGTAGGTCCATTCAAGGGAAAGAATGTAAACAAAATATCGTTCGCAAAAAGCAACTGAGTGGTCTTTTGTGTGGGAACAGCACCAGTCTATGTACAATGACAAGGCCATCCAAACTATGTACAATGACAAAAGTTATTCAAACTATGTACAATGACCATCATAGGAAATATTTTATTTTTAGTGCACTTAAACGCTGCACCCGGGAAAATTTAAGTTTTATACACGTAAACGCCGCGCCATTTCTTCTGGAAGTTACGGTAAGTAATAACTGTGGTAATTTTTTTAAATAAAACTTTAATTCCATTATTAAAGAGTTGTTTTAATATTTTGCTATGTTTCCATTAAAGTGCTATTGCCACCCTTTTTTGTTGTTATTGTTTATTAGCAAAATCGTGTATTGACATTTTAGTGCTTTTTCCAGTTCTAGAATATTACTCCAGTTGCTCTTCTCTACATAATACAGTATTTATTCAATAGAAAATATTCATTTTCAAGTCTTAGATTCTTTTTAACCATTTTGTATGTAAACAAAACTACTTCACTACAAATAATGCTTATAGCAGTTGTAAGGAAAATTTGAAGTAGAATTATAATATTTAGAATTTAATTTTAGAGACTATATTTTAGAAAAGCTTTAAAAATTCACAGCGACTGCCTTTCCACTTCTCGATTTCATTATCCCAGGCAGTAACAAAAATAAAATTCTGAAGTATTTCTCTCTCAGTGAGGAATGTTTCCTTAATAACATCATTGAAATTATAATTTAATTGTCATTTGTATTTTCCATTCAAAAGTTTTGATGGAGTAAGGAAGGTTAGAAAAAAAGTGAAGCTATTGAAGTTTTTTGTAATTTTGCTAATTTACTCTGCTTAGCATAAAAAACAGCTTTCTTCTCAATTCAGCTTTATACCACAATTTGGCATCACCAATGACTTGAGAGGATTAGATGACTGAATAATAGCAGTTTGACTGAGTCAAATCCAAAACAGTGAGGTGGCTGCCTTATGTGTAGTGTAGAGTGTATAACATTGTACTTACACATGCATGAAGTGAATATGAGCCATTTCCCTTTTAATAATGTGAATATGAGCCAGTTCCCATTTGTTGTGCCCTTCGTAAAGAATTTTAGTGCTCCATGATGCCATCCTACCTGTTAGACTGTTATAATCCAATAAATCACAATTAATCTTTCTGCTGTGAAGATCCATATAATGATCCCCTTATAGTATATTTAAAATGAAAAATGCATGCCACTTCCCCGAAAATGTGCTATATGGAGTGCACTGCCCCTTTTGGCTATACTACTAAATATTAGCATTATACTTAATTTATAAAAGTATTCTAAAATTTTTCTACAATTTAATCAAACTGAAACACATAACATCTTAATTAATACTTTCCTATAAAATTCTAGTTAGACAGGATGATTAAAAGCTTTTGTTTACAGTTCTATGTACAACTAGGTAATTTAAAAACAATTGACAGGAATAAATATTCCCCTCCCCCCAAAAAATAACTTTTTAGAAAAATGCTTTGCTAAACTGCAGAAAAAAGCTGTTTTCATATATAGTCCTACAGATGTGAGATTCGTCAGCTATAGGATTTTTATTGTATTTCCTCAAAATATCAAATGGGATTTTGGATGTTTTAGGAATTGATGCATTTATTTTCTAATTCTGCAGCTGCATCTTATAAAATTGTATTTTATTCCTTTTTATAGCAACTGCTAGTTTATAAATGGAAGGAAGGTACAAAGGACAAAAAAGGGTCTTATACTTTATTTCACCAACAACTATTTCCTAATCCATTGTTAGCAATGAATTACGTCGATATAACTGGAGATGGCCTGAAAGAATTACTTATTCTTACTACAAAAGGCCTTCATATTTTACAGGTGAGTTTGAAATTCCACCACACTATATATTATTAAATTTATTTGCTGTAATTAAAATTACCTAATGTAACTGATCAGCATACTAATGAGAAAGCACTGAGCTTTTTTTTCCCTTTTCATAGGAACAGTTTATGCCATTGCATTGTTTCAAAAAAATTTGGTAGAGTTTAAGCATAAAAGGTGGCATGAGACTAAAAAATTCACGTTTTGCAACATTTAGTTTTATGAATAAGGAATTTAGAAGAAAATGACCTTGTTTAACTGAATAAGAATAATTATTTATTTTTAAATTTTGCATGTAAAAACTTATTTTAAATTTTGTGTAATTCTTTAATATCTGGATCTGAAAGCAACTGTTATTATTTCCAGTGTAGAGGAAAAGGTACTCTTCTGTTATTGGGATGGATGTATGTGTTCATGTATATATGTACATACGTATGTATGTATACACACGTACACATGTGCATACATTTCTGAATGCAGTCACGATAACAGAAGAGTACCGAGGAAAAAGTATGTTTTGTCCTGCTTGGGAAGTATTGCCAATTCACAATATTTTTAGTTTCAAATTTTTTATAATTATATGTTATATGAATGACTATTAAAAATGAATAATCTGTGAATATGTGTATGTGTTGTACTTTGGAAAAACAGTAGCATGTAGAGCTAATAGATTTTGAATGCACATATTCCTGCATTCAACCAGACGTGCCTTTAAGACAAATCTTAAATTTATTTATTTTATGCAAAATTAACGAAATTTATATTAATGATGCACATGACAGAGAGCTTTCAGTGTCAAGGATATTGTTTCAAGTATCTCATTTCAGCATTTCCTAGCCTATTGTTTGAAAAGAAAAGAGTTGGTGTGTTTGATGGACCACAGATTTGGCAGCTCCTTAAAGATGAATATTTCATCGGAACAATTATAGAACTTTAAAAGAATGCTTGGTTGGTATTCAAAAACATTGTCAAAGAATTTTATTGGAAATACACGAACATAAAATCAAAGCAAAATTGTCCAGCAACTTTCGGACAGCTTTAAAATGCCTGGTTGCAACATGAGCATCAAATTGCTTTTTTTTACACAGCCATCTTGATAACTTCCCAAAAAAATCTTGATGCAGTCAGTGAGGAGCAGAGTGAGTAGCAATTCCACCAAGATCTGAAGGTTATGGAGGCAGTGTACCAAGGTAGATGGGATGTACATATGATGGCTCACTATTGTTCAAGCATCAAATGAAAATGTCCACAGATTAAACACTCCAGAAAAAGCCATAAGTGAAAATTTTTATCTTAATGTGTTGGTTTACCATTTGGGAAAAAAAAAAAAAAAAAAGCAAAATTTAACTTGCAGTAACTATATATAGCCATTGTGTGAATAAAACTATTCTTTGTGAACAGTATATTTTGCTAAGTTTTCCCTTAATATGCATATTTTGCATGACTTTTGAGACAAAGGGTGTCCTGTAGCTTAAAAAGCTGACATGATAGACAAAAAGGTTATTTTTAAATTCAGAGACCAAAATTTATTAAAAAACGAGTAACAGATCTAACACAAAGAAACTGCTGTTCCTTGGTATTATTCTTTTTATAATCACTGACGTCTTTATAACTCTAAAAATTATGTACAGCACAAAGTCTGTAATCCGGATATCCATTATCCGCAATGATCTATAATCCAGACCTCAAAGCTACAAACTTATGCATGCACGTAATGTGTTTACCCATGCTCGCTTCCAATAGTGAAGAAAGTGACAGAGAAATTATTGAAAACAAAAATATTTCGATCAACAAGTTAGTCGGTATTCTCGACACGGCAATTACGGGACTTGAACAGTGGAACTTTGTAGCTGAACAAGAAATTATGTTTGTTTATAGAGTTAAAGAGAAAGTATTAGCACAAAAAACAAAACAACCTAAACAACTTACATTGAAAGAAATGTTTAATAAAGTAAACAAATAAATATTAAGCTTTTTTTTTGTAAATTTTGATACCCTTTAGGTCATAATTGCTCTTTATTTCATAAATTACAGTTTCATATTTTAATTGTATAATTCTGCATGCCATCTTACCAGATTTAAATTGATGATCTATAATCCGGAAAAAACCTCTAATCCGGAATCACCGAAGTCCCGACGAGTCCGGATTACGGACTTTGTACTGTATTATGTTAAATTTAATTGCTCATGGAATATATACAATTTATAGCTATCTTAAGGTTATAATTTAATTATTTGTTTGTTGAAATGCCCCTCAACTGTTCATTAATCTATTGAACTAAAAGTAAGTACACTAGTGTGTAAAACTTAAGCAAAAATTAATTTTTTAACATACAACCATGAAATTGTTGAAAAGGACTTTTTGCATTGAGTACAATGAAAAGCCACTCATTAGAAAGGTGACGTGCATGCAAATTTTCAGTACCATGATGCCAGAGTTCTGCAAGTGAAAGTGGGATTGTTAATACAGTTATAGTTAGTAGAAAACAGCAGGGTGCTTTCTCAGATGAAACTTGAGAAGGGGCACAGTTTGATGCCTGTTGTCCAACAGTTTGGAACTGATAAAAGTGTTATTTAATCAGCTTTGAAAGCCTTCTGAACAACAAGTAGAACTGTAAGAAAGCTTGGTGCTGGTCAGCCAAAGGAAAGATCAGTGACTGATGACTAATACATTGCCCTGCAGGCAAAAAGAGATTGAAATCAGACAATGAGCAACATTACTCAACAGTTTTGCATGACAACTGGATGAGAGGTATCCCAATGTACTGTGGCTAGTTGACTTCGTAAAGGTGGCCTGTTTGCCTGCAGCCCTGAATGCTGCATAGCATTGACAGCAGCACTACTTAGAGTGATGTAAAAAACAAAGAATGAACATGGAGTCACATCCCCTTTACCGATGAGAGTTGTTTGTCTAACAAACAATGCTTGGCATCAGTTGATATGTAAGGAATACACTTCCATACCCCTAACAGCATGGGAAAGAGACCATTGAGGTGATCCTGGCATGCTTGTATAGGGAGGCATTATGACGGATGGATGGAAGTCCATTTACCATTACTGCTATGATTTTTTTTTTTTTAAATCCAGTAGTGGGTACTTGCCTATTCAGCATTGGCCACTCCTAAGGCCACAATTGGTGGCCACCGTTGCTTCCTATAAAAGGACAGACAGTTACAACCATATCTTCTCCGGGATTCGAACCTGTGCCCTTCGGTACTACAGTAGGCTCCCTTAACCACTTTACCGTTTGGGAGGCACTGCAATGAAGTGAAGTTATCTTCCTCCACCTGTGTCTTTTCCGTGGTGCCACTAGTTCTGACTTTGTTTTTATGGATGACACTGCACAGGACTCAAGCTGTTGAGGAAGTTTTTAAAAGTGAAGATATTCATAGAATGGATTGGCAAGTGTACGTCCTGATTTAAATACCATTCAACATGCATAGGATATTTTAGGGAGACACCTGGTGGCATGATCTTACCTCCTGGAGAATACTAGACAACTGAAGCATGCTGCTTAAAAAATGGGAACTCTTACCCGAAGAACTGTCTGGCACTGAGTATCAAAAGATAGTGTAACACAACCATTGCAGTTAAAGGAGGGTCACATCATTTACTAAGGCTCTTTAATTTGTTGTTTTTCTTCTTGGCCAGCTTTTTGCACAGTAATTCTGTCCTTTTCTATTTGTTCCCTACTGTGTGCATCCCATTAATTTTTTTGCTACTGTACTTTTCATATCGTGCCTCTGTAGTATAAATTTCATGTCACCCAGTTGACTTTTCGCAGAATTAAGGCCAAAATCAGGAAAGTTTTTTAAGTTTTACACAATAGTATATTTTTAAATCCTGTATACAGTGTCTCACAAAAGTGATGGGACACTTGTGCTTTACAAAAGGAAACTGTAGTAAAATAAATAAAAAAAGGCGTGTAAAATTTTTTTTGGGTGTGTTTCATATTAAATTTAGTAACAATTATTACATAATATACTTTCTCAAAATATTAAAATAAAAATTTAATAAAAATACAATTTTTTAGAATGGAGCAAAAAATGGCTCACATAAGTGATGGGACACTTAATTTTCCATCAAATATTTATCCAAAAATTTTCCTTTTTAAAAGGTTTTAATATTTTGTTGGATATCCTTTTTACTTTTAAAACATGATCTTCTTGGGATGGTTTCGACTAATTTTTTTGTGATTTCTGGAGTGAGTTTACCCCATTCTTTTTGAAGCACCGATTTTAATTGTTGTTTTGAAGAAATGGTGTGTTTGCGAATTCTTGATTCCAATTTTTGCCAAATATTTTCTATGTGATTTAAGTCTGGAGATTGTGGTGGTGTTTTTATTATTCCAGGAGAGTTATACAGCAGCCAGACTCTAACGTTCAAAGCAGTGTGCTTGGAGTCATTGCCCTGGTAGAATTTAAAATCGTTACGATGGTTCAATTTTCGTGCCGAAGATTTCAAATTTTGATTTAAAATGTTAACATACTTGTGCCGATCCATTATACTGTCAATAAAAACAAGATTACCAACACCAGCGGACGACATACACCCCCATACCATAACTCCTCCTCCACCATGTTTTACTGTTGGCACCAAGTCTGTTTGCGAAATTCTTCCCTGGATTTCTTCACACCAAGATTCTACCCCAGAACCAAATATATTAAATTTACTCTCATCAGCAAATATATCTTCATTCCAGTAATCAGAATTCCTATTTATGTTGGATTTTGCGAAAGCCAGTCTGAGTTGTCTATTCTTTTCACTCAAGAAGAATTTTTTCCTGGCTGCTCTACCGTGATATCCAGCATATCTAATTACTCTTATAATAGTCTCAGGATTAACAATTACTCCATATAATGCTTGTAAATCAGACAGCAACTATAGGAGCACTCATTCTTGGAGTTTTTTTTTAATATTTCCAACGATAATTCGCTTTATTCCTTTGGATAGCTTTGATGGTCGGCGAGGTCTTCTGTTATCCTGAATCATATGATTCTTTTTAATCGTAATGATACGAAAACGTTGAATGACTCAAGTTAACTGTTTCAGCAGTTTTTCTAATAGATTTTCCACATTCAATATGCAAATTAATAACTAATTTTCGAATTTCAGGCAAGGTTTCTTTTCGTTTAGCATTCATGGCTGCTGCAGAGCTAAAAAACACAAAAATTCCAAAACAAACTGGAGTGAAATACTCCAGACAATTTTATAAATTATTGCCAATTGCTTTTGAGTAAAACTAAAAACCCCAAAAAATATTTTTATTGTAGTCGTAGTAGTATCTAATGGTGTCTCATCACTATGTGAGCCATTTTTGCTCCGTTCTAAACAATTGATTTTTATTAAATTAATATTTAATATTATGGAAAATATATAATAATGGTTATTAAATTTAATATGAAACACACCCACAAAAATGTTTACATGTTCTTTTAATTTATTTTATTACAGTTTCCTTTTGTAAAGCACAAGTGTCCCATCACTTTTTTGAGACACTGTACATTTTGATTACTTTCCAATTATGACTTATATTTAACTTTTCTTTTTTATTTTTAGCATGATTTGGAGAAAGCTACAGAATTATGTATTCAGAGGATGAAGTGTCTTTTACAGAACCTATTAAATGAAGAATTAGAGAAAATCCTAACTGAAGATTCTTGAATGAATTACACAAACAGTATTTTGAAGCATTCCCCTATGATGAGAATGATAAGATCAGTAATACACAAGGAATATAATTTAAACATGTGAACACAAAAATAATATATCTCAGTTCTTTATACTTTTTTTACATAACTGTAATATATTTTTTGATATTTTACAGTAATTTTATTGAAGCTTATATAAACTGTGATATGATTTTCTTTTTGAAATAAATGTTTCTTTTTTTAAACTTTAAAATATCATTTTTAGCAATTGCAGTATTACAC